GTGAAGCTTGAACGCGATGTGGAAGTTTACCGCGTCTGAGGTACCAAGAAATATCAGAAAGCCGAAATAAACGCAAACCTCATCTCCATTTCAGCATACTGCAACCAAATGGTGATCGAACGATGGTCAACGTCGAGAGCACGTTCGAATACTGATCGTGAACGTTGTATTTCACCAATTGACTCTTCCCATTTTCCATATTTGATCCAGTTTGCAATTTGCATTCTGAGAGGAAAATGATGATTTAGAAAGGAAACGTCTTGTTGTTATAAGGGAAATCCGTTTTGCTTCTTTACTTGAAGAATGCTACTCGAAAAACTGCGGCGCACCTATTTTTACGGATTCCATCTTCAAACTCCTTCCTCTTCTTTCTTTGAAATTCTGCTAGCTCGTCAGGATCAGTGATCTTTGTCTTAGGAGGCAAAGGAATTAACTCCAATTCACGCTCTTTAGCCTCACGAAGAAGCTGCTCAGCTGTGATTTGGAGCTGCGCTGGAGCCTGAAGGAACACATTTACGTAAGGTACATCAATCTACTAATGAACCAAGGTTCTAAAGTTAAAATAAACAAAATTCGCATAAAGCCAGACAACAATGTGCAAAAAAAATAACACTAGAAACAATTTAACGTGAAAAAAAAGTGAAGCAAATAGTAGTACAGAATTCAATCACAGTAAAATAGACTTCAAGTATTGCTTAACCAAAATAAATACAAAGCAGATGCCCAGGCTACCTTATTCTTGACTTTCGCAGCTTTCTTTGGCAAGCGCAAAGGCTTGTTACCCGATACTGGCTCCTCATCGTCACTCATTTTTGCACCGGTGCTTGATGTTCTGGAACAAGGAGAAGCTAAAAATGAATTCTTACGACAGTGAGCTCATATGCAATGAAGACAAGTTACCGAGTTGTTTCAACGAAAAGTGTATACAAACATTAGCTTTGGAGCGAAGTCAACGAAGCTATCGAAACATATCCCAAAATTTCATGAATAATCGAATACCTTCATAAACCATTACAAACGTGAGATATGCAACAAAAAATTCGCAATAGAAACAAGCATACCAATGAGTATTATATTCGAACGAAAATGGAGTCGAAAATCTCGTAGTAGTGCATTTGCACATATTCCATCTTCCAACAGTACACCACGCCTAATTTCAATTAACGCCAAGATGCTCTACGCTTTTATTCGAATAATCCGGAAATCTCTCCTGCTCAGGAATAATCTCAACTCTTACCCAACGAAATCAGAAGTAAATCAACTCATTCTGTTAAGTTCGAAATTCTGAGCAGCTTCTCCGTTTCGATCAGGTCGACTTCCCTTCCCTAGTCTAATCTAAGCCTTTGCTGAAGCGATTAGGCAAGTACCGAGGCATCACTTTTTTGCTCGGGATGGGTAAAAAATTCCTTTCGAATTTTCGTTCCTTTTTTTCACAAGGGCGGAAGTGGTGTAGTGGCAAGTGGCACGCTTACCACGCGAGCGGTCCGGGGATCAAATCCTGGGTCGTGAGTCGCCCGGGCCAACCAAGCCTTCCATCCCTCCGGGGTCGGTTAATTGGTACCAGACTTGTCTGGGAGGATAAAAACACTGACTTGTACATCGGCTGGCCCCCGCAAGTCATTGTATAGGCCACATCGCATTCAAACGCCACTACGAATGTACAAATGGAAGTAGAATGCGTGCCGCATCCCAAAAAGGGATTGATCAACGGCAAATGCTTTATCCTTTTTTATCCTTTTTAAACAAAATTGCTCCAAGAAAAGCCGTATTTGGAAATAATGTGTATTCAAAAATAGAGAAATGTTGAAGGGCACTATTCCACTATTACTACCCCAGTAGGGGTGAGATGGTTCAAAAATAATTTTGGCTGAAACTTCTACTATGGAGGTTATTGGGGGTCCTGATCAGGGTCAGTCCTATCGTTGTTACTTTTTCAAAAATTTTTACGACCCCCCTCCCCCAAGGTGGACTTGGTACGACCCCCTTTTCCACACCTCGACCACCATATTCCTCTCTATAGTATTTAATTCTGGTATTAAACGATACGGCATACATTATACGAAGTTATACGAATTCCCAATGGCCAACTAGACGGAAGCAAAACATTGCTATAGCTGATGATTGACACTCGGTCCTTAACAGCAGCGCGTATCCTGTCTACCAACAAATAGCATGGAAGCACGGGCTCAGTTCTGATCGCTATATGAGTGCCCAGGTTCGTGGCAGGGCGTTAGAAGCTCAAAGCTGGGAATATGCACCAGAATCTGCCCATCGGAATAACTGCGATGTTCCAAATTATCGAATGCCGCATAATTTCTATTATGTACCTCTGAAGTACATCATAAATGGAACGCAAACAACGAAGATACGTTTGATTATCGCCAGTTTTGCTCCGCCCGCTATCGCGCGCATGTCAACATAGGCTTCTGTGAAACAGAGTATAGCCGGGCTGTTGTATTGAGAAACATACTGCTTTCAATTGATTTTACTGATGGTATTAAGGAAAGCAGATGATAAAGCAGTAATTTCTCGTGCTAATCCTTCTATTTTATAAAGCGCTAACTTTGTGTGTCGGTTTGTGTATCTGTATGTGTGTGTGTGTGCGTGTGTGTGTATGTATGTGTGTCCGTCCGCAAAATGAAGTGAGTGAGAAGGAAGCTCATGGGATAAACAAACCGCTAACAATCGGGTAGCTTACAGGATTTGAGATATCAATGTTTTGTAGCAGGATAGTTGTGATAACACTCTTAGGGCTATATAAACACCTGCTTAGCACACTTCCGTTCATTCCACATGGTGCTGCAGTGGCAGCTGGAGGGCAGTGGAGAGAGGAAGGGAGGATGAGGAAGGGAAGCGAAAAATCTACCGTCATATCATGATTGTGTCCCTTCTACTGTATGAAACACCATTGTGTTGCATACGCGTCACTTCCAGGAGGTGTTGGTGTCACAGGAGGAAGGGACCATAGCGGAGGATAGAAAGCTTGCGCAGGAAAGGAAGGTCCCGGCGGTTGACGGGGGACTAATCTGGTAAATAAAACATCCATCATTTTTCTAGAACTAACAAAGTCTAGCAGCCGAATGACCTTTGGATAACTAATACAATTACTTGGGCTGCTTATTATCACCCCTCACCGTAAACATCTACCATGCTTGGATACTGGGATAGTTTAGCGGTCTAATAACTTCTTTTACCGGTGATGCGATAGAATTACCAATTTATCGCACATATTTCCACAGACACCGACCATCTTAGGAAAGCTCGGGCAGATTAGCGGTCGAATGGATCACGACTACATCGCAAAAAATGAGATGTTTTCTTATCCCACATCTGGATAAGAACTTCAGTACATTTGCTTTGTATCGCTCCTTATCAGCCCCTATCAGCCGTTATCACTTTTTGGTCCCCATCAAATATGTTCCGTCGCACAGCCCATATCACATCTGCAGAGCAACGCCTCAATGCTGCTGGGCCCTGCGCTGTGACCTTTCGGGGCAGTGTGCCGTTCGACACGCTTCGTTAATTAGCCGCCTGCCTAGTACCTGTTTAGTCTCCTTTCTGGTCTTCATCAGATATGTTCAGTCCTACTCCCCGCGATTATCATTGATCTTCAAAAATCAACCTTTTGCGACGACAGCTGTAGGTCGCGCTATGATTTTCGCGTCAGTACGGTGACAAACACACAACACACGGACACACATCGACCGCATTGAGCGCTTAGGCGGATTATATGTAGTGGATATGTTGCTACAGTTGTCCCCCCCGGCCTTCAAGCCGCTCGGCTTCTTGTCATGCGTCGCTTTACGTACTTGAAAGTGACTTGTCAAATATCTAAATTGCACCGCTTCTGTATCGCCTGGGGATTGGTTTTGCCGCCTTACCTGCCCTAGAAACGAAAAACAAATAATCCAACCCACCCCCACCTTACACTTGGTCCGCTCCAGCTGCCAAGCAGCACGCAGTGTGGACATGGTCGGTAGTGACTCTGCAGTATGGTGTTGCATAGATGCCCATATGAAGTGTTATCACAATGCATCGCCATTTGGGCAAACATGATACTTCAAGTCCTTTCGTGAGCTACATGATTCCGTTAGCTGCTATGCACTTCACTCATTTTTGCGGACGGACAGACATACATACATACAAACCGCCACAACAAGTTATCCTTCTATTTTATAAAGCGCTAACTTTGTGTGTCGGTTTGTGTATCTGTATGTGTGTGTATGTATGTATGTGTCCCGTCCGCAAAATGAAGTGAGTGAGAAGGAAGCTCATGGGATAAACAAACCGCTAACAGAATCATGGTAGCTCACAGGACTTTAGCTATTAGTGTTTTGCAATGGCATGATTGTGATGGTGGTGATGTCCGTTCCTCCAAGTGGTGCCACTGGGAAACTGCTCACTTTTGTGAGCTGAGCTGAACACGGACATTCGAATGCAGGCGACAGGCCCCCGTGACAGGCCGGCCTACGAACACCCACGTCACATCACAAATGTCATGTCGCTAAGAAGAATGGCATGATTGTGATAGCATCCCCAACGGCTATATAAACACGCACTTAGCACACTTTCATTCGTGATGCTGTGGTAGCCGGCGAGCAGAGGGGAACGAGGGGAGAGTAAGGAGAGGAGGGAGAAGGGAAAGCTTACGCAAGGTAGGGAGGTTCCGGCGCTTGCCGGGGGACCAATCTGGTAGTTTGTAAAAAGAAGGATTGCTCGTGGAGAAAGCGTTTAATCGATAGCAGTTATTTTATTGTTATAATCCCATCGCTCTTGGATGCTTTTTACCCTTTTACTCCTTTATTTTTTTAAAGATCACTCCAAATGACCCAGTTGGCCTGCTGAACTGCCCGTGTCTGCAGAAGTGTACCACCCGCTCCTTCTGGCAAGGCAAGTGCGATGCTCTGTCAATGAATCCCCTTCATCAAACCGTGGGGGCTACCTAGTAAGAAAGCGGGTGCTTTGGAAGCATCTTAGTGACACACTATCTTCCCTTGGTTCTGTTAAAATTTTAAAGGTCAGATCTACAACGTCGCAGAACTTTTTTCTTCAGCCAATAGCGGACAACAGCAATTACCGTCCGGTTGTGATCGGTGTTTTCAATAAATGTCAGCATGAGAGGTTGTGGTATGGTATTTGTACCAGGCCAAGGCCAACGAAGAACTGCTAGCAGGCAGTTTCCTCTCTCAAATAAAAAATGGTGGATATCCGATCAATTCCACATCAATCACTGGAATTTCTCAAACTAGCTATTTCATTTTTAGATGTTGAGTCGTTGCCTGGTTGTTGCGAAGGGCTGCAATTTCGGCCCGGATAAAATCTCACAAGTGAACAAGAAAGAAGGAAC